CTAGTACTGCTACTAGTGATGTTTGCTTGCAAACCAACATGGGAATGTAATTGTTGCTTAGAGGTGTCAAACATGCTCTAGATGTCCATTTTAATTTGATCTCTGTGCATATGCTAGATGATTTTGGTTATGATAATCAATTTGGTTCTGGAAAGTGGAAACTCATTAAAGGTAACTTGGTTGTGGCTAGAGGAGAAAAGCTTTCTAAACTATATTGAACAAAAGCTTTGGTTCTAGGGACAATGTCAATACTATTGACATGTAAGCATATTTATGGCACCGAAGACTTAGTCATATTAGTGAAAAGGGGTTGAATGTTTTGGCCAAAAAGTATGTTCTTCTTGGATCAAATAATGTAGATTGGGAGAAGTGTTCTCATTGCATGGCTGGTAAACAGACTAGAGTATCTTTCAAGAGACATCCTCCCCCAAGGAAATTAAAGTTGCTTCAATTGGTATATTCTGATGTTTGTGTCCCATTAAAGGTAAAATCCTATAGTGGTGAACTTTATTTTGTTATATTTATTGATGATTGCTCCTGAAAACTATGAATTTATGCCTTAAAGGCAAAATACCAAGTGTTGGAAAAGTTCAAAGAATTCCATGCTTTGGTTAAGAGGTAAATAGGCGAGAAGCTGGAATATGTTTGTTCAGACAATGGTGGAGAGTATTGTGGACCATTTGATTCCTATTGTAAGCAACATGGTATTTCACATGAAAAGACTCCTCATAAAACTCCTCAATTGAATGGTTTAGAAGACAGGATGAATAAAACACTAATTGAGAGAGTAAAGTGTATTCTCTCTGAAGCTAAGTTGCCTAATCATTATTGGGGCGAGGAACTTTACATGATTGTGCATGTTCGTAATCTCACTCATACTATTTCTTTGAACAGTAAAGTTCTAGACAAAAACTTGATTTAGAAAGAATTTCAAATATGATCATTTGAGAGTCTTTGATTGTAAGACTTTTGTGCGCATTCCAAAGGATGAAAGGTACAAGTTGGATGTAAAGTCAAAACAATATATCTTCATCGGTTATGGGAAACACGAGTTTGTTTACAGGTTGTATGATCCTATAGGGAATAAGCTTATTCGAAGTCGCGATATGGCGTTTATAGAAGACCAAACTATTAAAGACATTGATAAGGTAGAGAAGGCTACACCCAAGAAATATATCAGTTTGTCTAATGTTGATCTAGTTTGATTACATAGTCATAATCTGGATGCCATTGGTGGTGATGATCATAATGGTGAGCCATATGATTATGTTTATGATCAACAACTTGGAGATGAGGTGAATATTACAATTAATGATGTTGAATGGGGGAGCGATATGTCATAGGATGAGAATCTTGGTAAAGCTCCAAAATCATCTCAAGTTCAACTTAAGAAATCTAACAGGCAGAAATAACCTTCTACAAGGTATAATTCTGATGATTATGTTGCCTTGACTGATGAGGGAGAACCCGAGTGTTTTCAAGAGGGCATGGAAAGGGATGAAAATCAAAAGTGGATGGATGTAATGCATGATGAGATGAAATCATTGTATGATAATCATACTTATGATTTAGTGAAGCTGCCTAAAGGCAAAAGGGCTTTTGAAAACAAATGGATTTATAGAGTTAAACATGAGAGCAACTCTAAGTCTCCCAGATATAAATCCAGATTAGTGGTGAAAGGTTTCCATTAAAGAAAAAGTGTTGATTTTAATGATATTTTCTCACCTGTTGTAAAGATGTCATCAATTAGAACCATGTTGAGTTTGGCTGCTACTCTTGATTTAGAGGTTGAGCAAATGAATGTGAAAATGGACTTCCTTCATGGTGATTTGAAGGAAGAGATCTACATGAAACAACCAGATGGTTTTCAAGTTAATAGGTTAAAGAAGCAATTGGGAGAGTGATTTGCCATGAAAGACATGGGAGCAACTAAACAGATTATTGGAATTATAATCATGCGTGACAAAAAAGAGATGAAACTTTGGATGTCACAAGAACATTATATCGAAAGAGTGCTGCAAAGATTCAAAATGGAAAGTTTTAAGGCGGTAAGCACTCATTTCAATACTCATTTCAAGTTGAGTTTTAATCAAAGTCCTTTAAGTGAAGATGAAGCGTTTGATATGAACCATGTTCCTTATGCGTGTGTTGTGGGTAGTTTGATGTATGCAATGGTGTGTACAAGACTAGATATAACATATGGTATTAGTACAGTCAGTAGATTTTTGTCAAATCCAGTTAGAGAGCATTGGAATGTTGTAAAATGGTTTTTAAGGTATATTTGCGATATTATTTCTAAGAGGCTTTGTTTTGGAGGAGATAAGCCTACTCTAGTGGGGTACTCTGACTCTGATATGACTGGAGATATTGATTCCAAAAAGTCCAATTCGGGTTACCTGATTAAATTTGCCGGGGGAGTTGTGGTTTGCCAATCCAGATTACTAAAGTATACAACACTGTCTACTATAGAGGTTGAGTCATTGTAATTACCGAAGCATGCAAAGAGTTACTATGGTTGAAGAAATTTTTGCAAGATCATATTTTTTTTCAAGACAAATATGTGTTATTGTTGATAGTCAAAGCACTATTCATCTTGGTAAGAATCCGAATTTTCATTATAGAGCCAAACACATTGATGTGAGATATCAATGGATACGTGATGTTTTAGATGTTAAGTTGTTGGAGTTAGCCAAAGTTAATACAAATGATAATGGTTTTGATATGATGACTAAAGCATTACCAATAGAAAAATTTGAAGCTTGTTGTGATATTGTCGGTTTGGCGATTTCCTCCACATAGTTGTGAGGGGGAGATTTGTTGGGTTTGAGCTTCCTTCCTATATGGAGAAAGACCCAAATATGATTAGCCCATGTTTCTCACTTATTTAAGTGGAGAGGATCAATTTAGGGTTGAGAAAAAGATAGAGAGAAAATAAGGATTCAAAAGAGAGAAAATAAGAGAGAAATTGATTCCCGTTTTTCTGCAACCAATCTCACTAAATCGACGACCCTCGATTTGTTAACCGTCGGGTCGAGCTCAAATTTGCAGGGCAGATTCGTAGCACGTATCAAAATTTTGACCATTCAGAATTTCAAAATAACGTCTGAGGTGAGAGTTATCTGCTTTACACTGAAGTTGCAGATTTGAGAAATTTTTTAGCTTTTTCATTCTTATTTGTAAGCTAGTTTACTTTGTGATTTGCGGTTGTTAGTACTAGTTTGTGAATTTGAAGACTCTCTTGTACCCTTAGTTGATTATAGTGGAGTTATTTCTTTGGTCTGAACGACTCTTGATTTTTACTCTCATATTGAGGGATTTTCCACGTTAAAAATATCGGTGTTCTTTTATGCCTTTATTTGTTTGATTTATTGTCTTATATTTATTATTGACCCTCTAGGCTCCTACAAGTTTGGAGAATTTTATATTTACCATGTATTAGTCTCTTATTGTGTCTTAATTTCCCATCATTGCACTCTAAATCTTTCACTACGGTTAATTTCTAAAACCGTAGTAAAATGTGTAAAATTTGAAAAAAAACTGACTTCAACATTTTATTACGATTATTTTAACAAGCATAGCGATACATTAGGTGTTACTATTTTTTTATCACAACTAATAGTATGTAATTGTAAAATGAGCACTTTAGAACCACATGCTACCTTACCATAAACCACCATTTCTAGTAGAATGTTTTTTTCAACTATTATATATATGTTATTCATAGTAGTAACTGATGAAAACTAAGAAATGATATACCATGATAAATATGAAGTTTCAAAGAACTATACGTTTTCAGAGAATTGAACTTTAGAAGATAAATCTATTTACTGTGTTAATCTGTTATAAAGATAAATGTATGCTTATGCACACAAAGCTAGCTCAGAAACTTTAACTGAGCACAGCTAAAAAACTAACGCCTAACCATCAGCTAACAAAATTTACTATTGCTGAAGAAAACAAACTCTATTTACTATTCACTATTCACTCATGTACACCGATTTAAGAGTACGTAGTTTACTTTTGTAAAAAAGAAGAAGAAAGTATATTATATTTGATTAAAAAAAAATTAAAAATAATCATTTTCAACTGATTGATTAATTAACAAATCATAGTGTTAATTTTCCCATTTGTTAATTCTCATGACGAAAATTGATCACCTAACGTCCTAACTCCCCTACCCTCCTATCAAATTTCAGCACAAAAATACTCTTTAGGCTATGTGTTTCCTCACTTTGTCTTCATCAATTATTATATTACTATTAATAGTTAATAGCCCTTTAAATTAATAAATTGACTCCTATATCTTTTTTCTAAATAAATTTTTCATTCAATAAAATTCCTATGGATGCCAGCTTATCAACAACTAATGTAAATTCCATACATTAAAAAAAACAGAGAAATTTACAAATTTATTATATATATTCACAATCAAGATTAAATAATAAAACAAAAAAAAAATGAAAAAGATATAGATCATGCAAAAGTGGACAAAACAAAAAATAATGTCTATGTCATCATCTCATCACCAAGTGGGCCCTACCTCTTCTCTGATTTGATTCTGACTGGGGCTGCTTCATGTGCCATCTCTCTAATTATTATTATCTATTTTTTTTAATTTTATCTAATTTAATTTCTTCATCAAAATTACTCTAATATGTGAAAATAATTTTATTAATAGAATGAAAAATAAAAAAAATAAAATCAAGAACCATTAAATTAGAAATACACATCACTACATAAGCCAGTTGGCAGCTAAATGTTTGTGCACATCATCGTAATCTTTCTAATACCATCCTTAATTACATAATTACCCTTGTTAATTACAACTAATTACATGTTGACTTTTCTACTTGTGTTCCCACTCTCATTTTATATATATACACATCTTTCACCTCCTTCTTCTCTATAATTGTTTCTCTCTTTAAAAATTTCATCACTTGAAGAATCTGAAAATTTTTCTTTCTTCAATTTTTTTTATAACTTTGTTTGAAACAAAAAAAATGAGCAACATAAGCATGGTTGAGGCAAAGCTTCCACCAGGGTTCAGGTTTCATCCTAGAGATGAAGAGCTTGTGTGTGATTACTTGATGAAGAAGGTTACTCATAGTGATTCTCTTCTCATGATTGATGTTGATCTTAACAAGTGTGAACCATGGGATATTCCTGGTTAGTATTACATTAATCCTATTTATGAATCTATATAATCTGATTAATTTTCCTTCACTATATATTATGATTATCTTGCATTCTCTATTATACATATAGTTATTATTGTTTATATATGTTTGATGTATGAATTATTAATTATTAAGTTTTCTGGTTCTATTTCTGTTGAATTATTGTTTTGTGGTAAGTTTTGATGTGATGATGATAGCAACTATATTGGTTATAATAGATCCCAATTTTTATCTGTATTGTGATCTGGATATTAATGGAATATTTATTTTATACTTGTATTCATTGTGAAATAAATAGAAATAACGTAACATTATTTTTCAGTCTGCATTTTTTATTTGGGTTATAAGTTGACATAAACATTTGTATTTTAATGGATGTCATAGATGGTTTTTATTCCTAATCCTAATCCTAGCAAATATATATTAGAGATAAGTAGGTACAGGTGGCTGCGCTTATGTACTATATAATAAAATAATATTGAAAAATATTATTATTTTAATTAAGAATATATATATATATATATATATATATATATATATATATATATATATATATATATATATATATATATATATATATATATATATATAAATGTTTTACAACTCTGACTCAGTTTGCTTAGTTATTAGGTCATTGTTCATGTCGGTAGTTTATTGATCAGATTTTGTTATTAGTCATTGGTTAGGTCGGTGACTAATTGTAACATAAAAGATTAGGTTGGAGGTCGGTGGCTTATTGATCAAATTTTATTATTATGTTATTGGTCAAGTCGGTGGTTAATTATAACACGAAAGGCTAGGTCTAGGTCAGAGGTAGGTGGCTTTTTGATCAAACTTTGTTAATAGGTTATTAGTTAGATTGATGGCTAATTATAACACGAAAGATCATGTCGGTGGCTTATTGATCCGATTTCGTTATTAGGTAGGTCATTGGCCAGATTGTGACTAATTGTAACACGAAATTATTACAATATAAATATGATTTCTTATTTAAAACAATTATAATTGTAATCGGCCAATTCAAACAAATCTCTTTTGATTGTTTGATTAATGAATTAAATAGATCATATTGATTTCTACGAAATCAATTACATTTTTGGTGTTTTATGACCTTTTTAATCTGTCTGACGGACCGAATTTTAAAACATAGAAAATACTGATCATTCTATTTTTTTTTTTTAAATAATTGAATACTATAATATAAATAATTTGTTTTCATTAAATGTTTATATAAATTAACAAATACATATACATACATACACGCATCTTGGAAAGGGATGTAGACAGTTGAGTTGAGGTTAGCATCTTTGAACAGGAAGTTCTAAAAATCAGAAACTCTCTCCATAAGCTTACAATACAAATTTCTAACAGTATTTGGCAAGATTAAATTATATAACATAATTAAAAACACTGTAATAAATTGACACACTGAACTTGTCCTATTATAAAGTGTTTGATAATGATTTAAATCATAATAACTCAAATACTGGTTTACATTGCATTAACACATGGACGTGATTAATTGATTTACATGTCATATAGTAAAGTGATTGTTGCTGGACCCAACAAAGTTGATCTTACTTTTATGTCAAAAAGAAAAGATACTAAGTGCTGAGAGACACATCATCACTAAAAATAACTTACACGAATTACTTTATCTTTTATTTATAAATATTTATTTTAACAAACACTTATTTTATAAGGTGAAAATAAGCTGTTAATCCAAACAAACAATTTTATTAATCAGGTAAAAATAAATTTTAGGCTTGATAAGATATATCATATATGGATCAACATTGAAGTTTAATTATTTTGAAAATGATTTCAACTGTTTGATTATGAAATCACGATAACTAGTTTTGGATGTTATCCAAGCATGTCATAAATGAAAAGAAACTGATAAGGATATGCAAATTAGAAAACACATCATCAATTAATGGAAGAGTCTTCAATTATGTATATAAATTAGTATAATTTGCATTCTAATCATGAAAACTAAAAATATTCTTTTCCTGTTCTGCTACAAACAAACATATATATCAATTTTTGTACAATAAAGATTCTAATAAAAAAATATAATTATTAAGACATAGGAACGAAAGTCATGAAATTGCATTTAATTTAAGGATTAATTTTAACCTATGATAATATTATTAATGTGGACAGTTGGTTTTAACTAGTCATAGTTGACTTAACATAAAAACTAATTTGGACCTTTTATTAATCTATAATTGCACATGTTCTACATCTTATCAAAATTAACATATCATATATAATTATTCTTCTCTTTAATTTTTTATAAATTAATCATCGGTAACTTGCAACTACAAAGACTAATTCTTTGAAATATGGTACAGAAGCGGCATGTGTAGGAGGAAAAGAATGGTATTTTTATACACAAAGAGATCGAAAATACGCAACAGGTCTACGCACAAATCGCGCAACTGCGTCGGGGTATTGGAAGGCCACCGGAAAAGACAGATCTATCCTTCGCAAGGGCACTCTTGTTGGCATGAGGAAAACATTAGTGTTCTATCAAGGAAGGGCACCAAAAGGAAGAAAAACTGAATGGGTTATGCATGAGTTTCGCATTGAAGGTCCTCATGGCCCTCCCAAATTTTCTTCTTCTAAGGTATGGTATTAATATCTTTTTTATTTTTGCAATATATGGTAAATAGACTTGTATTATTTCTCTTGCATGAGTTAAGGACTTTTGACTTTTTAGAATATTTTACTTTTATCTATACCAAATCAAATTTGTCTCACATGGCTATTGGCTAGAATGTGACTAGAAAAAGATATTGAGTAGCTTACCTAAGTAGATCCTCTTTGAATTTTTTATTAAACACTTATGTAAGCCTATAAGATTATCAAGTTCTCCTATTTTTTATTATATTTGTTCACTTATTTAAAAAATTAATATTTAAAAATTGATTTAAAATACACAGGAAGATTGGGTATTGTGTAGGGTATTCTACAAAAACAGAGAAGTGGCCACAAAAGCAAGCATGGGCAGTTGCTATGATGACACAGGCTCATCCTCACTTCCAGCATTAATGGATTCATACATCAGTTTTGATCACCAAGCTCAGTTCCACACAGATGAATATGAGCAAGTGCCCTGCTTCTCCATTTTCTCTCAAAACCAAACCAATCCCTTGTTCAACCATACAACAACAAACATGGAACCAAAACTACCTACCATCAACAATCCAACTACTACATTTGGAGGAGCACCTTATAGCCTAGATCCTATGTCTTGTGATAGAAAAGTTCTAAAAGCTGTTTTGAGTCAACTCTCAAAAATGGAAAGAAACACTCTTGATGATAATAATCAAAATCTAAAAGGCTCATCACCTAGCTTGGGTGAAGGAAGTTCTGAGAGTTACTTATCTGAAGTGGCTATGCCCCATATGTGGAATAGTTACTAATGTGCTTGAACTTCACTCCTATTTAAAGCAGAAGTTAGAGAGTTCAATTGCAATAAAATGGTGCACAGTCAAAAATAGGAGTGAGAAGGAGAAGAGGAGTTTCATTGTTTTAAGTTATGTAATAGTATTCATATATTTTTCTCATGATATTAGTTATTAATATATAAATAAATATCCAAGTGATGTGTCCCAATATATTAGAAAAATGGGACTTGTAATTGGAGTTTATAAATTTGTAGTTGGTTTTAGTTAGTAGATGGAGGGTTTTGTTTTATTTTATTCCCTAGCTAAATTATTTACATTGAATGTTATAATTACCTTTGTTTAGGTGAAAAAAGTTAGCATTAAGTTATACTTAGAATTTTCTTTCTATATATATAGTAAATAAAAATATTAATAACTTTTTTTCTTCTTCAAATGCTTATCCGTCTCCCATGTTTCAAAAGACTAAAACTTTGGAAGGTTAGCTAAGAAAAAGAAATAAAGGAAAATTTTCTTTGTTTAGGAGTAGATAGTAGAAAATGAATATGCATATTTATAACAAGACGTTAATGTTGTTATTAAAATATAAATTTGATAAGAGTTCTTTCAGAGAACCACAAATATTTGATGAAATGATGGAGTAGAATTTCAATGCGGTTGAGCAAATTTCTTGTGCGATATTATAGGGTAAATTTATAAGGTTAGCATTTTAACGCCTAAGTCAATAAGAAAATGAAGAGTAATGTGAGCTATAGTTTAGAGAATACCTCAAGTTTCATATAGGGGTTGTTATGGACGTCCTTTGCCATTTCTGTGTGAAATGAGAGTGGTATTCTAATGAAATCTTGTTGTACCATCATTTTCATCTGAGACCTTTCCACTCATATATTTATCATATCATATATTACCTTGGTGCATGCCAAGCATGTGGGTTCGCAGGGGAATGTCAAAAGAGGGTCTTTGCTTTAAAATAAGTGTTTGAAGTTGATTCAGCGACTATGGAAAGCTAGATTTCCACCTCTGATTTTTAAGATACTCGGCGTCTGGAATTTGGAATCTTTGGAGTTTTGCCACGAATTTTGGATTAGATTTTATCACTCATCATGATTAAGCTGGTTAGCATTCGTTAACTGAAGGTCATTTTAGGGTCTTCATGATCATATTCCTTTCTATACTTCAAGCTTTATCATTCATCTTCGGGGATTCTTTAAGGCAAAAAACTATGGGTTTGGTTATCAAGTCAAGGCGTGAAATAGTGGATTCATTGGATTCAAAATATTAGGGTCTTCTCAATCGCCTATTGCTTGTTGCTAGGGTAGGATGATATAGATTCAAGGATGAGGTTTTGGACTCATTACATAGAAGCATTCATTCAAGGGGCTACTTAATATCATTGATTCAAATTGGTGTTCGAATTAACCAACTGGATCAAGACGAGTTTGGAAAGAAGTTATTATCGCTTTTAAGGGTCTAATTCCAAGTTCGAGGATCAAAAGTTATCTAAGCTTGCAAGACACAAGTCACGGGTGCAAAAGTGGTTCAATAGTTCATTCAAGGTTTATATCATCCATCACGGTTCAAGTTTGCGAATTTCAATTCAATCGATACAAACATTCAAGTTAAGGCTCAATTATATTACAAGAAACCAAAAGAACAATTCAAACAAGTTGCCTTTTTCCACCTTTGCACCAAAATGGATCCAAGTCCAAAATCATGTTCTAGATTTGCATTACCTTTCCAAATTAGAAAAATCACTCTAAAAGATGCATTCATGTAACAAATTCAAGATCTCATCATTCGACATTGTTTCAAGTCCCGTTTTCAAATGACATTCAAGTTTGTAAGGCATAATTAAAGATTGTAAGCTCATAAGATTCAAGGCCTATTTCATTTCAATATCAATTGTCCAAACGAGGTCCATCATTTCAAATTCAATTTCCAAATGCAAGATTGCAAGTTCAAGTTCAAATGCAAGAAAACTTCATGATATCATATTTTTACTAAGTTCCCACTTCTAATTTTCAAAAGCCTAACTCTATAATGCATACATGCCTAAGTTTTCATTCAAAACTTCATGCTTTTTCTCCCACTCCTAGCCACGGATTCCTTCGCCTCCAAGCATCTCCATGTCACGACCTATTCACCTACAAAACAAAGATACGACTAATTCACATCATAAACCATATTATTACATTCAAGATTCACAAACCAAACCATTTCAAATCATACAAATTCATGCCTAATTCATCAACCAAATTAATCATACCACACAAAAAACAATCCATCAAGTTTATGTTATTCCATCATTCACAAATTCATTAAACCAAATTAATTTTCCATATTCACCAATACATTATTCAAATCATGCCAAGACTCATCAACATCCATAACCAATTCCAAACAAGTTTGTGTTATTCATCATTCACACAAATTCCTCATACAATTCGTGATTTAAGAAATTTCAAAAAAAAATCAAATGGCATACTCATGGGACCATAAATTCAGAATTTCACAAGCAAACAAAAAGGAAAGGGCAGAATAGAGGCAGTTGTAGATTTACTGATATGCTAATACAACTTTTGGCATCTTAGAAAGTGCATCATCTCATTTCCCTGAATATCATTCAACAACCCTAAAGCCCTAATTTCTACACTATTTAAGCCACTCATCAGTTCATAAGAAAAAGGAAGAGGGGAGAAAAAGAACCTAGACACTTCATTTGAGTTTAGCACTAACAGAAGAAAAAAAATTCAAGCCTCAATCAAAAGAAAACATTAGCAGCCAAGTTCAAAGCAAGAACAATCTTTCACATAGAGAAAAAAACTCTAAAAAACGGCAGGTAGAAACAAGAAAAAGGTCCGAAAATTGAGAGAAAAAAGCCACACACAAAAAATCAATCAAACCTGACATCGTTACACTCAGTTAGAAGCAACGACAGAGGGAAGAAAGAGTCAAGAATTCGTGTAGAAGGGAATAAAGCACGTATATGTAATTATGTCTTCGTGAACTTCTGAGTTTCTTCATTCCTATCTCGAATTCTTTCTCCACTCGTAATAGGTGTAGGTTAATTTTCTTCATTCACTGTTTGCTCACCTTTGTTCCAAATCGATTTTTTCTATTTTCAATCGATATGCTCTCTTTCTGTTGTTTCGATATGTTCATGTTAACATTCCTTCTGGTGTTTAACAATGTTTGCATCTGAATAAGAGGTTTCAGTGAGATATGTGAGAGATCTAAGAACCATGAGTGCTCGATTTCAGACGTTAAGTTGGGTTTTGAATCTAGGTTTCAGTCTTTTTTTCAAAAAAAAAAATAGAGGCTTACGGTTAGAACAGAGAAGTAGAAATTGAATACGGTTAAGTTTCTTCAAATCTTGGAGAAATTTTGTTGGATTTGTAGGTGTTAATGCTTAATCCAGGTTCTTCATGCTGCGTTGGTTTCTTTCATGGCCATATTCGTGCAGAGGAACACGAAATAGAGTGAGAATGTTTGATGCTTCCTTTCAGCATTTTTTGCAGGGCGTGTTTGTTGGATGTTTAGAAAAGGGTGATTTGGATGCTATTGCAAACGGCTAGGGTTCTTTTACCCTATTATTTCTGTTGTGAATCAGATGTCTTTAAACAAAATATAAAAGGTTTTTTTATGGTCAAGAAACACACAAGGGTTAAGGTTAACAAAGAAAGCAAGATAAGGCAACAAGGAACAACATGGATTGGTTATAAACCGTTATTCTTTCCTTACTCTTAGAACAAGATTACAAGTATACAAGAATAACAAAATAACCTCTCTCACTTGAAATTAGGATTTTATCTTCCTATTTTTACTTATACCAAGATTGAGAAACTAGTATCCTATTTATAAGAAAAACAATACACTAGCCTAATGGGCTTTTTAAAAATTACCCATTACAAGCTAATTTAGGGTACAAGCTAACTTAAACAATTAGGCTTACAAGCAAGGTACAATTCAAAATGCTAAAAACCCTAGAAATATTGACTAATGCATGTTAGAATAAACTTCGACTACAACACGCATTACTCTGACAATAACATGCAAACATACTTCGACCTCATGCTTAATTCTTGTCGAACCAGAAGCTACCCTTCGACCATACTAGAGTTCGATCCAACATCTCACAAATCTCCACCTTGAATCTAACTCTATAACATCAAGAAACTAGCTTTCTTCATGCAGCTTTATCAACTGCATACAGTGGAAAAACTTGCAACTTGGCAACGTCTTAGTGATCATATCAGCAGCATTATGATATGTCGAAACCTTCAACACTTGAACTTCCACGCGCTCAATTACCCCTCTGATGAAATGTAGTCTCACATCAATGTGCTTGGTTCACTCATGATAGGATGAATCCTTTGCAAAACATTCAAGCCACAATGCTTCCTTCACAACTTCAGTTAATGAAATATATTCTGCTTCAGTGGTTGATAAGGCAACGACCTTCTGAAGTGTTGCTTTCCAACTGATTGTTGTCCCAAACATAGTGAACACATATCCAGAAATAGATTTTTTGGAATCCATACAACCTCCATAATCAGAATCGACATATCCTTCGTTTGCTGCTTTATTATCTTCACCCAAGGCTCCACCATGAATTAGGACTCTATTCAGAGACCCATTTATGTACCTTAGATTCCACTTCAATGCTGGTCAATGAACCTTTCCAGGATTCGTCATGTACCTGCTTACAAGACTTACTGGATATGTTAAGTCGGGTCTAGTACAGACCATTGCATATATCAAAGAACCCACTATATTAGCATATGGAATAACATTCATATAAGTTCTTTCAACATCAGTGTTGGGACATTGATCTATACTCATCTTGAATTGAGGGTTTGTCGGAGTCACAACAGGCTTTGAGTTCGACATATCAAACTTTTCGAGAACCTTCTGTAAGTATGTCTCTTGAGATAAGCATAATTTCGACTGATTTCTATCTCTTTGGGTGTCAACCCCAAGAATCCTGGACGCATCTCCCAGATCCTTCATGTCGAACT